TAGTTTTTAGTGTGAAGCTTTGTTTTATTTCGTGTCAAAAACACTATTGTAAGAAAAAAATGGATTTATTAACAAAAGTCTTGTGATATTTCTTTATGTCGTTTGGATAAGATTATTAAATATATCAAGGTCATAAATCTATTTAAAATTAACAAATCATACATGCGTGAATGGCTGTATTTTTAAAGACGTATTTAGCATATTCTGGAAATGTTATTTTACAAAAGTTATTTTAGTTATTTTAGTCAAACTAATACATAACACAGAATAACATTTACTCTGATTGATCTTTTGGAAATATAGTTTCAAAAACAAAAAACATCTAACAAATATTGCGTATATGAGATAATGAGAAAGAAGATTACATAATAAAAAATTAAAATTTTCCAAATTGTCTTGTCTTTTGTAGATTTTATGATGTTGTTATATTCTATCTCAAAAAAATATATTTTCTGAAGCAGCTTTTCATCAATCCGGAGTATTGGGAGCATTTTCTTCTACATATAAGTAGATATATTATGAGTTTAACCCAAATATTGTTTTGAAAACGACTGTACCTATTATTCGTTTTGATAAAGATAGAAAACTCACTATTAATTTCTTTTCTTTAGAGAAAAAAGTCAAAAAGCTTTTGAATCTACCGGATTTTATGAAAAAACTCATTAGTATTTCTGCGAATGGGAACGTTTTTTGCACTGTACCTCCAAACGATATCGATATTGCAACGCTTTTCATTCATTCATTCACCCTTTTATTGGAGATATCAATATTTCTTACGTAAGTAAAGTTATTATCAAATAAATTCGTTGCATTATTAAAAAGATGGGAGGTCTATATGTAATGCGACTTATTAACTGACAATAAATTTCAGAATTTTATAGTAGTAGAATTGTGTGTAGTAAGTAGTAGACTTCGTGTGGAACGATGATAGATTCTCTAGTCTTTACTGACTAGTGCTCCTTGCATCACGCATCTTGGATATCATGTGCAATTGACCGTCTGGAAACACTAGCTTTCAAAGAATCTGCTTTTGTCTGCCGTATTCGTGATAATTAGGGTGATGAATTTTTTTTATGATATGTCATTTGTCTAACATAATGTCAAAAGTCTAACATAAACTGTGTAGTCAGCACAGTCATGCCTTGAAAAGGTACGTTTTTAGATTGCCTGTTGTGTTTTATAAATACTACACCACTATTTAACTGAATATAGACAAGCTGAAAATGCCATTTTGTACTCCTAGAAAATTGCTGCGGAGCTTGTTCTCAACCACGATTTAGATGGCTCAAAACGTAATTCTTGTGGTCAGGTCTTTGACCAATTTGAAGAAAAATGTTTCTTCTATCATCCTGACACGACCAAACAGGTGTAAAATAAAATTTCTACAATAGAGAGAGCGCGAAATTGAAACCTTCATTTAATCCAAGCAAGTTTTCAAGGAAAATGGGCAGTAGCTAGCTCTTCATCGTTTAATTCGACCAACTCTTCGTTTTGAGAGAAAGAACATAGTCGAAAACATAGCAGTATAGAAAAACGTGCAGCAGAGTGACTTGGCATCTTTGTGGCCAGACGGGGCACAATAATTAAAATTTCAATAGCTCATCATGAAATGTGTTCCATGTTTCAAAAATGGAACATAGAATAAAAGGTCTAAATGAAAAACCAAATGCATCATGTGAAGAATAGCCCATTCTTCCCATTGTTCTTTCATCCTTTCGTCTTCACTCCGTTTTCTTAACGTACGGTATACATCTATTGCTCTCTCTCATTGCGTACATGTTTAATCGCTCTTTCTTATTCTACATATCGCTTTTTGTTCATTTTAAATTTCAGTCCTCCAGTGTTCTCCCAAGTGAATAAAGCGAAACTTATTGAGAGGAAAAATGGGAAAGAAACAAGACCATCAGTCTATGCCATGCCGCGTGAACCATCAAACTGTATATGACTGTACATGAAACGCTGTGGAGATAAGTAGCCATGAAAGTGAACCACTTAGGTGATTTAACACCACCGACAACACACATTATATGAGATAATTAATAACTATTTAAAACAAATCGATGTTTGGACTCCACGTTAACAAATAATCATGAAGACAGCAGAAAATAGCAATAAAGGACCAAATTTAAAACAAAAAAGATGACATACCATCTTTATTCCATTGATAAAAGCTTGTGGGATGAAAATGTTTAAAAACATTTAGCTTTTGGAAAGACGGAAAAACCGGTGAAAATATTAAATCTAGATGAGGGGCCATTGAAAGGAAAGGGGTCACAAACGTTTTAGAATAATGTCGGCTAGAAGAAAGATGGAGCCACGCAGTTGTTATTCTCTACTTAGGCAGAGGATTGAGTTACTACTCAGCGCAAAAGGGCATAATTCAATATTTGAAATCTATTCTTTTACTTGATGCGACAGAGTATGGTAAGATCAACAGTAATCTAATCTTAATCACTAGCTGTGCTTGTAAATCATATAAAACAAAGGCTAAGGATAAGATCACTCTTAAAAAATGATATGATAATACATACTCGTTTTTCTTATATTGATATATCGCTCGAACTGAACGAATGTATGGGATGAAAAGTACTTAGGCTACAATGATCATTCCCTGTTCAAAATTTCCTTGCTGAGTCGATGCTGTTTGTTTGTGTTTTAGTCGGACTCCATGTACACCAGCTCCACAGCGTGAGTGAATGATTTGTTAGTTTCGCGGGCATGTGATTCAGATCAGATACTGAACAACAGCTCATCAGCAATCCTTCACCGTGGTACACACCTGTCTTCTAAACAAATGAACACGAGCAGTGCTCTCATCTTTCTCACAAAAAGTGCTTTTCAAGGATACTAAAATGTGTTGCTAAAATATTGTTGAATTCAGGAATGAGAAATAAACTAGAGGAATTAGTTTTGACATTTATATGTTATTTAAAGTCTTTTTATCGATCAACAGTTGCTTTTGAAAAGATTACTATTACCGATGAAGCGTTTGTTTCACATGACACCAAGTCCATGAGGTAAAATGTAGTATGTCCAAATATGTTATATAAGAGGAAACAATCCATGAAAGATGGCCTGAGTTAATTCATGGCTAGTGGATAAGGATGCTCCTTAACTTTGTGAAGATGAAAGGACTGACATGTACCACCCTAGACGATAGAAATAAGTTTTAATAGTATTCTATTCTTACACATATTAAATATAACAAGGTCTAGAATCTTTTACTGTCACCAACATCTTGTGAACATCATTTAAAACTCGTCATGTTTATGTTCATGCTTTTTTCTAATTTGAAAAGTCATGTAATAGTGCGTGTATAAATGAGAAAAGACTTTTAAGTGAGTAGAAAAACTCCCAGAAAGTCTAGTTAGGATTTTATATAGTTGCACAATCACATTCAGATAACTATAGACTCCTCTATAGTCATTTGCGAAGAAAAAGGTTCTATCATTATTGTATTTTTGGGTTTTGTTCCATTAAACGATTGCTCTACATTACCTCCATATATTTTATTTTATGTACCTTATCATGGTAATGAAACGTCTAGTTCAACAGTTTGTTATACTATCGAAGCGACAAGAACGCAATTTCTGGAATTAATCGCTAGTAGAGATCAATGAAGTCAAGTCCATAGTTTTACATTGTGGTCATCTCTTAGAAATATCATATTTGTGCCATAATACTGTTTCAAGATTATGCCTGAAATGTTATTTATGTAGTTTTGAGTAAAAAATAAACAACCAAGTAGGATCTATCTGCCTAATCACTTTGTTAGTTTAAACAGTTTATTAAGGAAGAGAAATTAGATTCTCTATAAAATTAATTACGTGATAAAAATCTCACAAGAATTCGTAAGCAAATCTTTTAGAATCTTTACTCTAAATAAATGTCAAGAACATCCAGTGCATCACTTGGAAGCAGGGTTCTGTACCTGATTTTCTTTACCAATAGAGTTTTCACAGTGTCTTCTATAAAGTGACGCACCACTTTATCGTTTGTGTATCAAAAGCTATTTTGAAAAGAGTTTTGTTCATTATATTTTGAAGTGAATAATAGTTATTACACCTGTGTCACTTATCTGCCTGCTCTTTTACTGCTCTTAGAGCAAAAAAACATTTTTCTATAGCTATTGGAAGTAATTCTTTATTTCTGCATAAGAACGTGATTTTATCATTGTTCAATGTCATCGATAGTATGTAAATGTTGACACTGTTTGTGACACACTTGTAGTAACAAAAAGGGCTGATTTCGGATGATTTTCTGAACAGAAATGATAAAAGAAAAGATAGGGACAAGAAAAACACAGTTTAAAATGTTCCATGTTGTCATATAAAACTGGTGTATTCCTACGAGAACTTATCCGACAGAAAAAAATGTTTTTATTTTATTGCTTGCTGTTCCATTTGACTTCCGCATCTTTCAATCTTTACGATTCCGATCCGTCACCTACTCGCGATTATTATGATTGCTTCTACTCTTACTTAAAATGGAAAGAGTCTATCAATATTCGTCCAAAAGTTTCATATTGCATTCGTCCAGAAACATCTAACAGTATTATCAATGACCAATGTTATGGAAAAATATATATGTTCGAACAAATGAAGTCTGAAAACATTACAGTTGACGACTTGTTTGTGTGGGATGCTACCATAGCTACAATAGATCAGTATCAACAATATCTTGAAGGAGATCACATATTAATTCCAAACAAATCATCCTTGTATTGCCGATGTATGTTTAACGGGCAGTTTGGATCAAGATGTCAGTACCAATTTGATCTTTTGGATCAACAATTTGACGAACAGGTTCTCAATTTTTTTCAATTAAAGAAAAGATACCCGCTAAACAAAGTGATTCCACACTTGAGCACTGAAAATCTAACATGCTATAATGATATTTTGTGCAATCATAGCGCATTATGTCTAGACTGGAAACAAGTATGTAATGGTGTAAATGATTGTGAAAATGGTGTAGACGAAATAAACTGTTGGCAGCTAGAGATGAATCAGTGTGTGGATAGTACACAATATCGATGCCGTAATGGAATGTGTATTGAGAGGCAATTTGCATTTGATGATATATACGACTGTCTTGACGGTAGTGATGAAATTGATGATGAAAAGAGAAAAATAAGATGTCAGCAGTATCCATTCGGAGAATGTGAAGAATTTAACTGTGGATGGATGACTTATCCAATTGATGACAATAGTGATTGTTTTATGAACTCTGTAAGCAGCTTTGTTCAAAGTCAACTATATACACGCAACCTTCATCTCTTTCCACTCCAACAACAACAAGTAAATAGAAAGGATACTTTTAATTTATTATGTTGGGAATATATGATTTGCAAACTCGATTTGGTAAACGTCATCAAAGTCAAATTTTGCTCTTTTCTCTGCTCACCCAGTGATCGTGATTGCTCATTGGCAATCAAAGAAAAATGTCCAACAAAATTCTTCTTTCCTATAAATAGAACTGTTGCATTTCCACCTTTATATTTTCTGTATAATACAAATAGTACAACTTGGAAATCTGGTTTTACGTTACCAGAATCTATTTGTGATGTCAAGGAATGTTACAAGTTAACTAATATGGGTTCTGCATACATAGAAAACTATCATAGTTTATTAAAAATTGTCATAACAGCTTTTTCAAGTATCAATATTAACGATATCTCATGTTTAAATTACTCTTTATTGTACTCATGTAGCTCTTCACTCCGTTGTTTGTCAAGACATCGACTAAATGACTTATATTCTGATTGTGTGTTTAATGATGATGAAATCGTCCAGCACGCAAGAACAATTCCAGTAGATCGATACAATTGTACAAACCGAAATGGTGATGAAATATCTGTTCCTCGTCAATTAGTACAGCACAATCGTTGCATTCCTCAGATTACTTGCACATCTAGCAACGATATCGGTTGTTACCTTCTACGAAATGGTTCTAGTACTCCATTAGCCTACTATTTATTCCAAGATTTTTGTAACGGTGTTGTGAATCGCAAACTGGTAACAGACGAAGCAGACTGCCAAGAATTTTCTTTGTCCTGCAGCTCAAGATCACGAGCATGCACTGGAATTTGGGACTGCAATAATGGATACGATGAGATTAATTGTGGCTCCCAAACATATTATTTGAACCAACATTGTGGTGAAGAAGAGCACTATTGTTTTCAATTCGACACATATGAACTAGGTTGTTTGCATGTTGATCGGGCAAATGATGGTCAAATTGATTGTATAGGAGCCAGTGACGAACGTTTTGTTTATTGCCCAAATAAGCATCCAGACGAGATAACACGTCGATTTCGGTGTTTAAGTGAGCCTCTATGTATTCGAGTAGAACAGGTCTGTGATGGAAATCAAGATTGTCCGTTGAATGATGATGAATTAATGTGCCCTTGGCGGATGAAATCCGAATGTCAGAATGGAACGTTTGCATGCAAAAATAGAACTTGTCTATCAGAATCTGAACGATGTAATAACCAAAATGAATGTCGAAACGGTGAAGATGAGTGGTTCTGTGATATGATTCGATACCGCCACTTTAAGCCCCAATTTAGACTTAGTACAGATTTTACACAATATCCAATTCGAGATGAAATGTCTAATGAAATGACCATTAAAAACTGGAGTAAATTAAAGCAGCGACGCTCTGTAAAGAGGGCTGATCTAAAACAAGATGAACTTTTTGACTACTACATAGCGTACTATTGCAATCATGGTGTGCTGGTAAGTAGCTGGGATACGAAAGGATTAGAATGCTTCTGCTCACCGGCTTATTTTGGACACCGTTGCCAGTTTCAAAGCCATCGGTTAACCGTTTACTTACAGGTGGAGATTGATAAACGTTTGCGACAGTCGGTTTTTAAACTATCTGTGTGTTTAATTTCTACGGATGATGAAGAACGCACAATTATGTGTGATTATGTTACTCATTTTGAATCTAATGAAAGAATATTCAAGCATATTATTTATTTAGTATATCCACGATCACACATCACTAGTAATTATTCTGTTCGTATTACCGCATATGCCACTACATTATCTACCGTCATGCTTCATTCAGCATGGTATTATAAAATTGCATTTTCATTCTTGCCTGTAAATCGTTTGACTGCTGTTATTAGAATTGAAAATACTACAGAACAATATAAGAATAATTGCATTTTATATAGAAATGATAACACAAGACACTACTGTTTTCATGCACCATTGTCGCCATTATTATGCGCAAATGATTCCCTTTTTGTTGATGGATACTGTGTCTGTCCTTTAAACAAGTGGGGAACTGGTTGTTATATTCGAAGCAATATATGTGAAAAAATGAACGATAGTTGTAAAAATGGTGGTATATGCTATCCATTAGTTGAGAGATTGAGTTATTTTTGTATCTGTGATGATCAACATTTTGGACAATTTTGCCAGTATAATCGATCCAAAGTAGCCATTAGTTTAATGAACAATCACTATTCAATATCTATTATGCCTTTTGTCATTGTTCATTTTTTAGAAATCGATGAAGCTCTAGGTGCATTGATAATCAAAGACAGATTATTATTTCATCGAGTTCCACTTTCCAGCATACTCATTTCTTTATTCAAACAAGAACGTCTGTCGACGTTTATCTACACTCAAATTTACTTTGATACCCGCACTGTGTACGGTGAATATCATTTAGTTAGTCTACTCAGACGAGTAAGATCTTTACAAACGAGCGTATTACCATCGAATCGTTGCCCGCACATACGTGAACTATTGAATCATACCGTCAACAACTTTCCTTATTTTAAACGTGTCAAATTTTATCAAAAAGCATGTTATGTGTGGGGTATAAAATGTTTCTATGATGAGCAATATATGTGCCTTTGTGACAATTTTGCACGGTATGATTGTTTCCGATTTGATCATGATGCAAGTGATTGCTCCAGTCTAGACTACTGCCTAAATGAAGGTCGATGTATCCAGCCGTTGCAAACTGATCTTACATTTGATTTTGGGTGTGTCTGTCCTGCTTGTTATTATGGCGAACTGTGTCAATTTACAACAGCTCAATATTCGTTGTCGTTAGATGCACTTGTTAGTTCAGAAATTCTTCTCGGAAAATCTCTCCATAATCTACCTACTTTGATCAAAATAACATTATCACTTGTAATGCTAATGGTGATTATCGGCTTAATGGCAAATTCATTGTCTATCATTTCGTTGTGCCAAAAAACTGGGCATGAGGTGGGCTGCGGCCTTTATTTATTAACTTTGTGTATAACAAGTCAGTTAGGTTTGCTTACATTTGGTGCACGTTTTATTCACCTACTTATCATGCAAACCAGTTCGCGAAAAAAAGCAGCAGCTTTTGATTACGTAAGCTGTATTTCACTCGAATTTCTTTTTTCAGTTACATCGTCGATTTTTGACTGGCTAACAGCATGCATTGCAATTGAGCGTGCTCTCGTCGCTGGCAAAGGTGTTCGATTCAACAAAAAACTTAGTAGAAAGCTATCCCAAATGCTTGTTATTATTGTGGTTGTATTGAATAGTGTGAGCCAAGTACATGAGCTGTTTTCGCGAGAGGTGATCGCTGATCCGCGATCAAGTGGCCATTCATGGTGTGTTATGAAATTCAGATATACATGGCTAGTAAAATATGAAATCATCACGAATATTTTACATCTCACTCTTCCATTTTTGATTAATCTTATATCGACCGTAATCTTTTTATTGTGTTTATCACTTAGAAAATCTCAATTGATGACAAATAATGGCTCGTATTACACAACATTGAAGCAACAAATCTTGTTATATCGAGCATTTGTCATAAGTCCCATAATTTTAGTTATTTTGGAATTACCACGACTTGTTCTTTTATTTGCATTTGCTTGTATCAAGTTTCCTTGGCAAAAATATGTGTATTTGTTGAGTTACTTCCTGTCAACAATGCCTCTGACTGGATCTCTCGTTATTTTTGTTCTACCCGCTCCCACATATCGAAACGAACTAAAACAATGGCTTGTTCGTTGTTTTCCTCGCACATAGTAAAGAATGGTTTATGGCTCAAGAAGACTACTTCTTCCATAGAGGAACAAGATGAATAAAACATGGGATATCTAATATATCTGTTTTGTGTGTTAAAACAGCATTTAGTACTGAAAGCACTGGGAGCAGAATAGTATGAAACTTCGGTATAGAGTAGGCATGCACCGATTTCGATTAATCGAAATTCGATTACTCGAAATCGAACATAATCGAACTTCGATTATTCGAAATCGAAAATATTCGAACCTTCGATTATTCGAAATCGAAAATAATCGAACCTTTTTTCTG